GCCAACATCTACTTCTCACAGTTCTGGAGGCTGGGAAGTCCAAGTTCAAGGTAAGGTCCTGGTTGGTTTGGTTCCTAGTAAGAGCTTTCTTCCTGTCTCGCAGACAGCCACCTTTCTGCTGTCTCTTACTGTCTCTTTTCTGTTAAATTATTTTCTCTTTCCACATATCAAATATCATTGCTTCATCAATTCAAGTGTGCTTTTCAAAGCCATCCTGACCAGAAGACTCAAGATTCATAATTGCAAGTACACTCCACAACATTCCAAACACTTGAAATACACTTTCAAAGCTGGACACTGAGTGTGTTTCAAGTTGCATCAAGTGAAAAATAGGATTTGTAATTTTTCCAATCAAAGCTGTAAACACGTTCTCAGAACAAATACAACTCAATTTTTCTTTATTTGTGTAACTTAATGGCATTCTTAACATTTCTACACTTTAGGAAACACCTGATGCAGTGTCTGGCATATAGTTTTTGAATAAAAAAAAAAATGGGTGCATGCTTTTGTTCCCTTGAATAACAGGTAAGAGAGTCCTAGTGACCATAACTGTTTCTCCACATTCCCTGGACTAATGACTGAGCAAGTATCGAAAGAGCAGTTTCAATGGGTTCATCAAGTACTGCACTAACAGTAGGTCCCTTATCATATAGGAATGCAAGTCTGAAACAAGTGGAAACAGTTATCATTAATGGTATCATCATATCATAGAGCTGCCAGAAACACCATCCCGAAGCGAAGCGTCTGCCAAATGCCTGCTTTAAAAACATGGTGACTAATTACTGACCCAAACAACAAAATCTGCCTTGGAAACAAAATTCCCAAAGAGAGATTCATTTAACATCAAATCTCATTTAAATGACCTCTAATAGAAATAGCAGAGAAAACAGTAATTTACATATATTAAGGTAGCTGTTGAGGCCTGCAAAAATTGTAAACATCCCTACTAGTTACCATTACAAAAGCATTCATTACCCCTATCTCTTATCTGGATGATGCCTCTTTGAAAGGAATTTCTGGCTGCTGGTTCTAGAAACATGATGTGGCAAAAATAAGCCCAAATGCTGCAAGGAAATGCGATGAGTGGACGTTTTCCTCCTTAAAGAAGTTGACTTACGAATTTCCGAAAAAAAAGGGAATTGAATGCTTTTTCTAACTTCTTAAAGAAAACCAGCGCTCGCCTAGCACAGTATGTTTACATGCAGGCTTTGACACATTACCAAACTTTTGAGTTTAACTGGCACGACCTTAGAAAACACTCCTCAGACAGCACGTAAAGGTTTAGCAAATATTTATTTCTTTAGCATCTAAATTGAACTAAATAGAAATTGTACATAACGGTACAGGCAAAGGATGCAGTGCTGAGTGGCAGATCCATATGATAGAGAGACGCACTGTCAACGGTCTTTGGACCTTACCACTAGATGGTAAGTCTCATGGCTTATAATCGGTGACAAGAAGTAAGAAAGCACATGCTGTTTTGGACCCAGGCAAATAAAAGGGAGCCAGAGAGGCAAGAACCGCGCCCCCCCCCCATATAGTTCTCTAGCTTATAACTAAGCCATTTAAACACAAACAGAACACATCCAATTGTAACGAAAGCCAAAGTATAACGCTCTCTTCCCAAGAAAAAATAAACATACCAGCTTAAATAACACACCACAATCAAAACAGTGTTCATGGAAAGTCTATTATTTATAACTGAGTCAAAGGCAACAGTTGTTGGCCTGAAAAATGAGCACTGCTCTTGAAATAAGTAACTTGGATGCGATACTCTGTTGTAAGAACAAGAACACGGGATCCTTACTGTCGGCATCGCTGCGGCACTTTCTCCTGGGAGCTCAAATACCCAATTCCAAGCGGTTTTCTTAATGTATCTGGCAGGCTAAAGACACTCATTTTTAAGGACAACAGCTGCTGTGTTTGTTTCATGCTTAACACCAACACTCAGAATTATTATTGTATTTTACAAATTTTACAAATGTTCAGAGTCGCTCTGAAGATTTACAAAGACCTACACCCTATAGCAAATATTAAACACTCCATAAAAACATCCTAAGTGTGTAACTGATTTGGGGAAAGAAAAAAACTCTAAAGTATATACAGAACTGCCGTTTACTAAACAGGCAAAGACTTTCTGTTCCCTTTTATTTTTTTTCCCTAGAGCTCTTTTTAGTGTTTATTTCCACTTTAATCCCTGTTTCTCCAAGTTAATAGCTTTGCACTGAAATATTCAGCAATAAACACAAAGAAAAAAAATAGCAATGTAGAATGTTAGACATGGAAGAGACCTTACAATTCCTGGAGACCTTACAATTCCTGAAGCAAAACCTCTTCAAGGTGTTAGCAAGGTGACGTCCTGAGCTAACAAGCTCAGGAGGGGGGATGAAAACTGAAAGAGGAAAGGTACACCGTTTTATATCAAGGCTCATTCTATTCCCAGGACCTCTTCCTTCACAGAGGACAACACAGCGGAGGTCTGAAGAAGCAGGAGACTGATCCTATACGGAGGTGCCTCTTTGAATCTAGGATGGGTGTTATGGTTCTTTCTCAGCTTAATATTTGTTCCCAGAGGGCACGATTTCTCTTCCCCAGGTCTATCTATGACTGGGGAAAATGTGGTGGGTCAGGGCAGACCCTTAATTCTTCCCTGTCTTGAAGGTAGCTAAGCTTGTGTCCTTCCTGAGTTCGAGAAAAAGAAGATAAATCTGGTCAATCCATTTGTGATTTTCTAAGCCCGGACATTTCTCAAAGGAGATCCTGAATTTGAATTCTGACAGAACAAAAGACGGGGAATACGTTTTGTAGTATGTTTCAGATTCTCAGGGACAGAGCAACATAGGTTTTTTGTTGGTTTGTCTTTCGAGAGGACAATGCAGTTTATCTCAAAGAACGTCGTGATGTGTGTGCGCATGTGCATTACACCTGCGCGCATGTTTGAGGGAAGGTGGAGAGAATGAGCAAATGGGAAAAAGTGTTCATATGTATATATATTTGAAAATTTAGTGCTCTCTCTAAATTGTGGACTTTTATCAGGCTACTCTCAAATTAGTATTTTAAAAATCTCCCCCTCTTACTAGTCATCTCATTTTACTTGAACAGCTTCAAGGTATATTTAATTATTAAGGCTTCTATCATAGAAAAGTTATTCTCCTCGGTCTTCTCTCTTCAGTTAGACAATATTTGAGTTCACAATTGACATCACTGTTATCATTGTTATCAACTGCTTGTGTATGTTATCAGGATTAAAATGGCGACAACGTATGTGCTATCTGCCTTACTTAAAAAAAATCTGATACAAGAGAAAAATCTCACTTTCCCTTTTCTTGTTTAATGGCAGAATATTTTCAACAAATTGTGCTTTATTGACTTATCTGTTCGCTTTGAGTGTTTCAGACATAAGCTTTGCTAAAGACCCTGTAATCCGTGGTTATGGTTCTATTTCTCCACACTGGGCAGGACTTTACTGATATATATGCTGTTTTCAGTTAATATTGGTGGGCAGCAATGACCTCCAGTGGATTCATGGGCAAACAGCAACTGGGTTTTGCAGAGAATGTTAATTTTCAAAATACTTCTACACTTTAGACCTTTTGGACCTTGGTGGCTAACAACGAACTTTTAAACTTTTTAAAAACATTTATGTATTTCTTAATTTTCAAATGAAATTGCAAGCCATTTTAAGTTATGAACACCTGAACTTTCTTAATTATATACCCTATAAGCCAATTTTGAAAACTGAAATATTTAAAGTTAACATTTAAATAACTATTCATAATTGTTTTCATGTGTAAAATTCACTTGCTTTTAATTTTTATTTAAATGAGAAGTATCAACAAAACTTCATATTTTAGAAAGGTAATTGCTAAATAAAAAGAAGGAAAGACTTCAAGAAATAAGTGTTCTCAAAAATAAAAACTTTTGATACTATTTAGAAAGGGAAAAGTGCTCTAGACACGGTAGTTAAGTGAACTCATGAAACATATTTCTTATTTAACATAAAATAGGAAAATTTGACATCTGAGAGCAAACTGCTTTAACATTTTTAAAATAATAAACGTATGTTCCTGGAGTATCTTTTATATGTCAGGGAAGAGTATTTAGAAGGCATAAAATTTAAGTTTTAATAGAGCTTGGGTGCTGTAATATCTTCATTTCTGGCTTGTGAGGTAATAAATTATTCATAAACACATTATCTCCATCTTAAAGCATGACATAAGCATTAAGACATTTTTGTTTAAGGTTTTTTTTTCTGAAAATGGACAAGATGTATTAACAGAAACTGTTCAAATCTTTACTAGACAATCTGTAAAAAGAGAAAAAAGAGAATATACTTTTTGTACCACAAGAGGGCAGCAAAAACTTTTTCAGTTAGACTTCTAACTACATCTTTTTTGGCTTTTTTTTTTTTTTATAAGTTACCTTAACTTCATTCTTTATTCAGTGGAGTGAAATTGAAAGGATGTGTTTTCTTCATGAAACATAACTATAGTGAACAGGGTTGGATGAATGTTTTATGAAGGGCACCAGCCTCAAGGTGACCACAGTTTTTCTTTCATGGTTTACAATTACAACACACCTGCTTCATAAAACACAGAGCTTAGATACTAACATGAGAATTCTTGGAAAGCAAAGACAGTTCATATGAGAACATTAAAGTATTTGATGTTCTGTATATTTTACATTGTGGCGGAAGGGTAGAATTCGGAAAGATTAAAATATATATTTAATTTTTTTCCATGCTTATTAGAATCTCTGCTTTTTCATCAGTACTCCAATAATCCTAAGTCTTCCAAGGGTAAAATAATAATTTTGCCAAGGAAAAGCAGCCAAGTACTCAAAACTACAGCTATGGTCACTTTTTGGTAAATATAGTCGGAAGCCACTGAGGAATATACTTGTTTAGAAAATTAGTTAATTTTATGAGATTTTTAACCAGTCAAATGAGTAGGTAGAATAATTTATCATAATACCTTCACAGTCATTTCTGTGTTACAGAACTCTTTTAAGCAGTACAAAGAAGTCAAATGGTTTCTCTTCGTTGTCGTTATTTGTTTTCAGTTCCAGACAGAAATTCTCCAGAAGCCAGTAGACCGTTTCGCCCCATCAGGAGTCCAGTGTGTGCCTGGGCAGGCGGTAGTGCTCCGCTTTGGGACGCAGCTTCTTTTCCTGTGGGTTGGCATATTTCCACTTGGAAGGCGACATTTTGAGCTTTTTCCTCTTCTTATCTGTGCACCAGACCTTTTCACAGTATTCCTCCACCCTCTGGAAGTTGCTATAACCAATCAGCTGCAAAAATTCCTTGTACCAGGGTTTTGCCCCGTGTGGGACGCTACTCTGGGCAGGACAGGGCATCTTGTGAGGCCCGTCCTCTTCAAAGTCTTTGTGAAACATCTCCTCCACTCTCTCCTCTTCCACCACCTCCAGGGTAATTTTACGGACGGTATGGACAAAACCGTGCTCTACTGTCTGGCAAGAATAGGTCCCAGCATCCGTTTTGCGTACCCTGAGGAAGAGTAAACCGAGGTCCATCTTAACCACTCTGTCATCCGTCTTCACCTGCAAGAACAAGAAAATGCATGATTCAGGAGAGGACACCAACCTAGAAACCCTCTGTCTTGAGTCTTTTTAAATTTTTGTTATCCCATGATGAAATCCTGAGAGTCACAGCTGCGTCTGAGAGCAAGCAAGCGAGAAGGACGGATTAAATCAGGTGGGTGTATGCTGGACTTACTTGCATTTGAGATCACCTCATATGGATGATTTTAGGGTCATTTCACATCAATATTGTTAAGAGCAGAGCAAGAGGTTTCTCCCTAATGATTTCAATTAATCATTAGAAAAAACCATCTAGTTCAGTAGAGCACTCAAAATTAGAGCAAAGTGAAGATCTGTCAAGTTTAACTTTTTCTTAGCAGTCAGCACAGATGCCATTTCTCACACTGTTAGTTCAGGGGTTCTTACTCCTTCCAGATCACAAAGACCAGTGTCTCTGTAAGGACCCCCGTTAAGAGATCTGGGATACCTTCACTCTCTTTCCTTATGAAGAAAGAAAAAAAATTCACCCATTCATTAATGAAGTGAGCATTCCTTCTATTTCTACAAGGCTTTCTACTTAACAGAGAATTAAAAATAAGCCAGAAAGAATCCATAATCTGCTCTGAAGAATCTCACGCTCCAGTAAATATTAAGATTGCACATAACTTCAGGGCTCAAATATCTTTTTATGTCTGTGACATAATAAATTATGCACATGACTTCTATAAATAAATTGAAGGTAGGAAGAGCACAGGAAGGCTTTTGAAAAATACAGCTCATATGAGAAACAGTGAGTCGACGATTTGACATGAGACAAAGTAGATTCAGACACGGGCACCACTCTCTACTAATTGTGCGAGCTATGGCATTTACGTATATTCTCTGCCTTAGGTTTCTTTGTAAAAATGGAGCTAAGCCTACTGTCACTTGAATGACTGTTGTGAAATTTAAATAGAATAACCTAAGTGAGACCACTCTGCATAGTGCTACCAGTACTTACCTCCTCTCCCTTTCCTATATATAGTCCCCCAGCCAGAAACAAACTGGGAGGTGTTTTCAGGTGGCCTAGCATCATACCATGGTGGTATGAAGCTGATTCCCACTATACTGGCTAACTTGGCCCTTGAGAATACAAAACGAAAGCAATATTCACCTTTGCCCATATAAAAGGGGCAGACTAACTACCACAACCACTCTGGCAGTAAAGGCCATTGAGACAAGCATGTTTTGGTCCCAGGGGCAGGTCCTGGGCAGGCCAGCTGCATTCAGCTCTCCTGAGCCTGCATCAGATCCGGCGTGTCTGAAGTTACAGAGTGCACTACACACGAGTGTATATAATTGTATAATTTGTAAATCATGTGGCAAAATAGCATTGGTGGTGTGGTCAGAGGCTGCATCTCATGTAGGCACGTTAAGATAAATTCTGAGGCTCTCAGAGGGTTTTTTTTTTCTTTTTTTGCCAGCCATATAAGCTAAAGTAATTATTCAGCCACTCCAGAGTGACATAGTTGGATGAAAGGGCTCCATAAATCCTTGACAGGGGCTTCCCTTGACTTGGCAGGACCATGTCCAAGTAGGCAGAATGCTAGAGCCATGAACTCAAGAAGTTCTCTCGTGAGAAAGCGAGAAGAGCAGTCCACCAAAACCATCGTCGCTACATCAAACAACCGCTTATCTGTTGACAGGTTTTGCTGAAGAGGTATCGTGGACACCTGCCACAGGCAGCAACTCAAATGACTTGGCGTCCCTGTTCATGCTCACCACTACTTTCTCCACAAATTTATCACATGCCTTGAATGATTCTGACTCTGAGGCTCAACCTGTGTTGTTTTTAAACTTGTGGCTGCATGTGACATAGAGGGACCCACCTTCTTAAACATTTTTTTTCTTTCCCTGTCTGGTACACGCCATTTTACTGTCCTGGTTCTCTCCTTGGTTCCCTCTTGGTCTCTTCTGTAGATTTCTCCTTCCCTCTAGGGCACAATCCTCCATCCTTCCTTGATCTCATGTTTTATTTGCATTCATTTGGTAACTCATCTATTTCCTCATTTCAGTGAGCTTCCCTAAGACAGTGTGTCTTACACAGAGATCATCCATTGTTTTGAGTTTCCTGTTAATTACAGAACACTGACCGAAACTTACATGATCATTATTTACAACCCAGTATCTCTCCTTGCAAACTGCACCCCTGCTTTACTAACTTCCTTATTCCTGACAATTACATTCTTCTTCTTCTAGTCCCTCTATCCTCATGTGTTGTTCTACTTCTCATTATTACGCCCTCATATCTACTACATCACACATTCCCATCAACATTTCTTCTGTGGCGATGGTGGGAAACATTCATTCCATTTCACTATTTTCCCACAGCGCTGGATTCTCATACTTTGTGACTGATTCTTCGACCTTGCCTCATGGTAGACTCCTCCCAAATCTTCCTTCTTTCTCTGTCTGCCATTATGCTCAGCTTGATTCTGTTTCATGACCCAAGGTGTTGTACCTGTCTGGAGGGACTTCCCTACTGCTGGTTCCATATTGGAAAAGGCTGAATTAAAACGGGTCTTTCTCACACCCCTGTAAGAGTGTCCTCCTTCCCTTATTACCATATCATGTCACCTGTTAACCTTTGTCAACTGAGCATGCAACATTACCTGCGAAAAATTACAAGTCCTTCAAATAATTTTCTTTTGACTGATACCTTTCCCCCTTTCTTTCAACAAACAGGTACTATTTTACCCTGCTTTTAATTTCATTCCTTTTGTCATGCTCCTTACCCAGATTCTATTGCTTGCCCAAGCAGGTAAGAGTTGTTCAGTTAACCAGACCCTGCCTTTCTAAATCCATACCCCCAGAGAGCTTACTGTAGTGCTTCTCATAGGGCTGGTGGAACAGGTACATTTCTGGATGGAGATCAGTTGAATATTCTGTAAAGACTTCTTCGATTACTGTGTTTAATTTTCATGATAATCATGTAAGTTAATAAACTATATTTGGGATCATGGGGAAGATCAACTTCATCGTTAGTATTGGTGTTTATCATAGACTCTGAACCATTTTCAAAGCTTTAACGGTTTCCAGCTGCTGTGAACAAAGATGAATGTAATATGTTAATGATACGTTCCAGCTAAATGAAAACCAAACAACATCACTACGCAGTAATGTACATAAAAAGTTTTGAAGTCACTTGTATAAAGTGTCAGGGGGATTGAGTCAGCACCTGGCACAAAGTGCTGCAGGCAGATGTTTTAGACACACCTATGTGGTAGCCTGTGTCCTATGTTCTGTTCATGGAGACGCCTGTTTCAGTGAAAAAAATCATCACATTAAAGATTTAAAGGATGCATACACTTGTTTGTATCCTATTTGTAAATTTATTTTGTTTCCATATTCAAATAAAAGTTACAGGCAAAAAGAATGCATTCCTTGTTTCATTCTTGTGAATATTTAAAAAACATTTTAATACAAGTCATGCTGGCAGCCCAAGACAATGTCTTAGTTTCAAGGGCAGATGGTGGGGACAACCTGTGCAAATACCAGAGTCAAGCCTTCCTTTTCATAACGCCTCCTATTCCGGGTCCCTTGTATTGCCACTTTCTTTCTCACTTGCATGGCTTATTCTGGTCTTATTCTTCCTTTCTGTTAGTGAAATCCTTCCTATGGTCTACCAATCCATTTTTTTAAAAATTTCTTGCCAAGCTTACACTTTCACTCCTTAATGAATACTTCCTTTTCAGCCCTAAAGATCTCTTCTTTCTTTTTATAACTCAATGGCATTCACATTTGTAGCACCCAAGCTGGTATTTATGTTCCTCGTCAAGTAATTTTGCCATGCAAGTTTCATCTCTTTAACCACAAGTCTCATAAGAGCAAAGGCCTATCTTTTAACTATACTGAGTCTTCCATAACGAGTAGAGTAGTGCTCAGAACGTAAATGAAAATGAGACCAGATGTACAAGGATGCAAGGCAATGGGGTACCCCAATAAAGGTATGTCCACAGAAGTGATTCACTTCTATGTCAATCCAGTAATGCTTTGGACAGGGAGGAAGCAAGCATGATTTCAGGAGCAGTAAGTAACTGCTCAAAGGGCTTTGCTTCACAGATACAGAGGAAAAGCACTTCTAGGACGCTGTCTTCACCTGGAAGGAATCTGCATACAAACAGCATCATTGAATATGGTCCTTGGTTTATTCCCTACTATCCTTCCCGTGAGAGGGCAAATATAAAAATATGAAAGTCATCTAGCATAGTTTCTGGCATATACCAACCAGTTTATGAAAGTGTTTAAAAATAAAACAAAAAGCAAAAATGAAAATAAAGACAAATCCTTGGCCACTGGGTTAGGAGTGCTTCTTTTCTTTTTCCGAGCAGGTATTTCTTTCAAAATCAGAAACCCACTTTGAGAAACACTGCATCGTGTGTATATAAAGTCCAGCCGTGTTCAAAGATGTGGAGGTGTGATAATTACAATGGGAACTGTCCTCCATCAATTATTTGCATGTTAGAGATAGTGCCGGTCTCAAAATGTAGGTTTCCCTCCCCTGTTACAGTGAGTTAGAAATTTTAGTAATAAAAGACGTTTTAACTCCAAAATCTGGATGGCTGTACACTATGTACGTTAAATCACCTCGAAGGTACTATGTATGTTAAAACACCAGATAAATGTATCTTCTGTAGCCTATGAATGCCTAAAAATAAAAGTGACTTAGAAATTTGTATTTGAAGTCCTTCCATGATTTGATCTTTCCACTTTAGTCCACATGGGCACCTTCAACAGCAAATCTTGATTACACAATTGTTTTCATCAGCTGTGCTTTCTCTACGTCTGCAGACCCGATTTCCTTGGTTAAGAAGATGATACATAATACATCACTTTATCAAATATTCTTACAAGCAATCTACAAAAATACAGCATTTCTTACTGAAAATGGTTTTAATATTCTGAGTTATAGAGATTGATTCAGTATGTTTTGTAATGTCAAGTAAAAAAAAAAAAAGTAATTGAACAAAGAACCCAGCACA